GAAATATGTATATGCAAACAGCTGAGTATCATCTACCACGTATTCAATTGTGAAAGCAGAATAACATACATAATATTTTTATTACTTCAAAGCTCAAATTTCAGCATTGAATGACCCATAAGGAGTTGGTATGCCATTAAACAATCAAATCAATCAACTATTCACACAAAGTCGTTCAGTAGATTACGCTCTATTTCTAATTGGTTCTCTTGTCTTCACTGTATCCTGTGAGTTTTTACTTCTTTAAGCCCCCTTTCCTTTGTGTCCCAGAAATTGCAAGTCTCCATTCCTGATTGTAAGTGTCTTCCTTCTCCCTTTCCTATAAATATTTACATGTTAATCTTTCTGATGAGTTTTCCTTTTTGGCATTTCGACTTTAGAAATTTAAGCGCAGTACTAGATTGGGAGTTAGGTCTCATCATTTTATATTTGAAATTTCTAGTTGTAACCGTCAGTTTTATGCTAACAGTTTCTTCTTTCGCACAATTTGCTTTTAGAACTCTCTTCCAGCTTCTTGCTTTCCAGTCAGCATTGATCTTCAAAAGTTTAAATGCAATGTCAATAGTTATCTTGTTAATTCTTCTTTTATTGTTCTTTCTACTTTATCTCATATTCTCTCACACTCAGTAGCCTCCGTGTGCCTTAGTGGCTTTATTGCCTTGTACTGTCAATGTTGTTTTCATCTGTGAAGAAATGTTGAGCGTTCACGGAGATATTGGAGATTAGATTATTTTTAATAATACTTTCTCATTTTTTAATTCTTTGGTTAGATTCTAGAAGACATTTTTTGCTATTTTTCTGTGCAATTGAATTTCCGTATCACATAATTCGTCATATGTTACCACATTCTTTTAGTGGATTTCTAATTTATAAAGGTACTAGCAGCATGGCCCGGCGTTGCCCGTGCTTGATCTAAAAATCGTATGGCTCATACAGCAATCGCTATCACTTGACTTAAAATATTTTTGCCCTTCCTTGCCTTTAAAGGAGGGCCCTTTGCCGCGCCGATGTTGCTACATGCCTTACTCCTTGCCTATCTCACACTGCGATTTTTTCTAAGCTCTATACTAAACATTAAATCTGTTACGAAAAAGAACTAAACAAAATGAACACGAAACGATCAGCTTTTAAAAAAGGACTCGTAACTGGAAAAACCGAATGAAAAAACAATATTAACAACAAATACTTTTTCACACCCAACCCAATTCTGCGGAATCAGAATCAACGTTGAGTTTAAGCAAGTGAATGAGCCAATTGGAGTAAAGTGCCATGCAGATTTAAATTTTTCCCATTTGTGACGAATGCAACTATCGATTTTTTTGCATGGTAGCATGCTAGTTAACATTCGTGTCAGTCAGCTGTTGGCTCTCACGCTGGCCAATAGAATCTTCCTGCCTATTCGTGGCAGCCAGCTATAGGCTCTCACTCTGGCCAGTAGAAAATGGCCGCAAACTACATGAAAAGCATGAAATATTGATTATTTCCATTATCGATGGGAGTTGAGAAATGCAATGTCGGTCTTGGCCTTCCCGCTAACTTGGAGCATGTGCATGTAAATTTTGGTGCAAATCCGTCGAAAATTGCGGCCGTGCATTTGTTACACACACACACGCACGCACACGCACACACACACACACACACACACACACACACACACACACACACACACACACACACTGCCTTTTATAGATAGAGATTTTGTGAACACGCGTAAAAATATAACACGGCCTCAAAAGGAGGAGAATTTGCTTTATTTTTCTTTTTTTATATTCTATGTAATTTCAGATAATGAACTTTTGTCGACTCGCAGTTTTCCTCTGTTTGTCTTATATTCAGAATCTCCTTTGAGTGTTAGAATCCCCTGGACTTCTTTCCTCATGGTGTATCACAGGCATGTCAGTTGTCTCTTTCTGATTGTTAATATCAGTTTCCATGTAGTTCCTATTGTCCTTAAAAAACTCACTCGGTGCTCATATATCATTCCAATGATTTTCTCAGCATTCACCACATGTTTGTTGCCTAAAGTATCTTGTTCAGTGGTGAGAGGTCGTTGTCAAAATATTTACTGATATACAGCAGATTAGGTCTCCTTTAGGGCAGATTAAAAGAGATTTGGCATTCTCATATAAGTGAAACAACTTGATTTTTTTTATATATTATAAATTACGAGGCACTCACAAATGATATTCGAAAGTTGCACTGCGTCAAATATGATATGAACTGAAAGCCGAAATCAAAGGTAAAATATCTCCAACTAATGTCTGTTTAATTGCGAGGGGTAATATGAAAAAATATAATACTAAACATAAAGTTAAAAGAATGGCAAATAACCTAGTATGTACATATGTAAGTATCTAAGTGGATGTGGAATTGTTAGCGAGCCGAGTTTGAATTCCAGTTTTCGTTATATTCGATTTTTGTGTAAATTCCCTATCTATCTATCTATCTATCTATCTATCTATCTATCTATCTATCTATCCCGGTCTGACCATTATCTATCTATCTATCTATCTATCTATCTATCTATCTATCTATCTATCTGTTCATTATCTGTCTGAGACTATTCATATCTGTCTGTTTATCTATGTCAGTCTGTCATCTATCTATCTATCTATCTATCTATCTATCTATCTATCTATCTCAGTCTGTTCATTTATATCTATCTTTGAACACTTCATTTTCAAGGAAAAAGTTGTTCTTATGTTATAACCTAAAATAAATGCCAAGTACATAAAATTCAAGCAGTTTACACAAACAAATATACCATGTACAAATAAATATTAGATGTTTTGTGTTTGAGTTGTGTGTGTGCTTGTGAGTAGGCCGATGTGTTTCCGCGAGTAGGTTCTGTGTATCTGTGATTATATGAAATTGTGAAAGACACGCAGACAGAGAGAAGGAAGGAAAAAAAGAAAATGGAGTAGTAATATAATTTTGCTCTGATGAACATTTCAGCCTGAGTGTCTTTCAATGATTGATGGAAAGATGTTCTTGAATCTAGAAAGATTCGTTTTCTGTGTCATCGCTGTTTAAATACACTTATGTGTCTCTTCATGTTCCTGCACTTCGTTCTCTATTTCCCTGACTATGGAACTGGCTCGGTTGCGAGTAGCAACTCGATATACTAGAATCTTGAATCGTTTGTACAGCATGACCACTTGAAATGGACAGCTTATCTTGAGGTCACATGCATTGCTCTGACGGTGGTTGTAAATATAACAGGGTCAGCCGATCGAAAGAGAAAGTGAAGTAAGATTTTCAGGGCCAAATTCAATATGTATTCATCATTCTGGATGGGAAGACAAATAGAAGTTGGGGTTAAAAAATGAGGTTTACAATTGTTTGTTTGTTCTTTCTTTCTTTCTTTCTTTCTTTCTTTCTTTCTTTCTTTTTCAGACAATCAGAGATATACACAATATATTCGCAAACACAAGCTGTTTATTTTTCTATGTGCTGTGTCCCTTCAGGATGTTGTCGATCATGTTGAGGTATAATTCATTGTCCTTTGTAGCTCTTAATAAATGTCTTTCTGTTATCTCTCCTAAAACCTTGCCTCGCCATTAATTGGCACAGGTTCGATAGGTAGGCTATACGTTCTTTTCTTCTGTTTCGCATGCCATCAATCTGCCATGTAACTATCAAATTTTCCAAACCTTCTTTTCTCATTATGTGCTCTAGAAATTCAACTGTCTCTTTCTGATGTTAAGTATAAGTGTCCTTTTTGCTTCCATTACCTCTAATCGTCGCTACTGACATTTTCGATTCATGGTATTCTCAGCATCCTTCTGTAGAATAATAATTCTGCTGCTTCAAGTCTTTTCTTCATCTGCGAGGAGATTCTCCAATATTCATAACCATGTACTGGAACTGACATTACGTCACAGTTTAGCAGTCATTTCTTTGTTTCTAACGAAATTTTCTGTTTCTTAATACTTGGCTTGGCTTTCGAAAGGCATGATACATACACTATATACTGAATTATATTTTAACTTATATATGTCCATTCTCTACAATATTATTTCAGTATAAAATATATTTTGATGTTCCAAGTAAAGCGTAAAATTATAGAACATTTTATTATGTTTCCAGTTTCCAGAAGCATCTATTTCGTACTATTAAAAGAATCTTAGGAAAACTATTGAATTTTGAGGCTTGTTCTTTATTACTATTTTATTGCTACTTTATTGATATTGGAGTAACTTGATTATAAGTCTTCGCTAATAAATTCAGAAACTAGGAAAGTGTATTTCAAAGGAAGATAAATAAATGAAAAACAGTCATGCTTTGAATATTTTATTTACCTTTTTTCTCGGCACAGAAACAGTCATTTGTAAAGTGTGTTGGCCAGGCATTCATAATTATGTGAAGGGCATATTAATCGCAGAAATTTATCCGCGGACCACAGGAGCACATTACTGAATATGATTGTGATAGAAACAAATATATAAGGATGGGGAAAAAAAAATCTTCCTTCTTTTTTTCTTCGGCGAGTTAAATACAAAGAAAGTGAAATATTGGTCGAATGAAATCGTACTTCTAAAAAACTGATTTTTTTTCTTACACAATCAATGCCATTTTTTTTCTGATGAATACAAAAAATTAAGCATTTTGAAAAACCTTGCGTGCCACACTGTATATAATCGCGCAACACATTCTGTTCGCTGTCCGTATTTCTTGCAGGCCTGTTCACAATGAACATATGGATTTATTATGAAAATCGTAAAGGACTGATTCGTTTACTACGGTTTATCAAACATTTGCAGGTTATTTAAAATCAGAAGACATTTTTAGATTGTAAGAATTTCTTTTGGAGATAATAGCAATTTAGTGATACAAATCTTACGAATTAATCCATAGCTGGGGAAGAAGTGGTGGATTTATACTATATCCAAGGTTATTTGTGCTTAAGTGAATATAACGAACACAACGGGAATTGGAACTCGATTCTGTAATTAACAATTCCGAGACAATTACAATTACACCGTCCGTACAACCAAGCTTATAGCACCTTGTATTCCTAAGTAGTCACCCATCAAGGTACTGTCTATGCTCGACGCTGCTCAACTTCGGTGATTGTACGGGAACTGGTATTTCAGCTTGATGTAGCGAAAAACCTAGAATTGAAAATGTATAAACTCGTACAGTATTTACATTAATCTTTGTTGACATATTTATTATAACGTTTCGGCTGTTGTACGCCCCGGCCTTCTTCAGGTAGTTAGAATGTCGAACCAAACCCTTTATTTCGCTCGCTGGGGTAGACTGTTCTAGTTCCACGTGCCATGTGCAACGGATGTCAGTTATCAGTTATCTCCTGTTAATTCCACTCTTCAAGTTCTCTGCCTTAAACAGGTATTGAACTCACAACACTTTGGGTCCTGTCACTGAAACTAACCGACGCCTTTATCCACTGTCCTTAAGAAATAATGAAAATAAATTCTGTTAAATTTAACATCAAATTATGAACAAAAATATCTTATTGATGTGTGACGCATATCCTTTGCTGAACTGAGAGAATCAACATTAGACATAAGACTTTCTTCTCATCTTTCTTCTTTACATCTTCTTCTGACTTCCAATGACTGAAGAAGTGCGGAGCGTACAACAGTCGAAACGTTGTGATAAATATGGAAACAAAGATGAGGACAATAGTCCGATTAATGTAAATAGTGTGCATAATATCTCATCTCAGAAATATTGACAGATACTGAAGGGCTGAAATGTTGTGATAAATATGGCGACAAAGATGAGGACAATAGTCCGATTAGATTAATGTAAATAGTGTGCATAATACGTCATCTCAGAAATATAGACAGATACTGAAGGGCTGAAATGTTGTGATAAATATGGCGACAAAGATGAGGACAATAGTCCGATTAATGTAAATAGTGTGCATAATACGTCATCTCAGAAATATAGACAGATACTGAAGGGCTGAAATGTTGTGATAAATATGGCGACAAAGATGAGGACAATAGTCCGATTAATTTAAATAGTGTGCATAATACCTTATCTCAGAAATATAGACAGATACTGAAGGGCTGAAATGTTGTGATAAATATGGCGACGAAGATGAGGACAATAGTCCGATTAATGTAAATAGTGTACATAATACCTCATCTCAGAAATATAGACAGATACTGAATAAACGCGTGTCTACATAATAGAAAATCTATAAGCGTCATAACCTAAATGGGATTTATTGGAGAGATAAGGATTTTTTGAGATTCAGGGGAACGTTTGGAGATGAAAAGTCCTTCATCGTGTATTTTTAATACCCAGTTCGAAAGCCACTCGAAGCGGAACATTACACTTAAAATAATGATGTCGAATGACGTGCAATGTAAATAGGAGAGAATCTGGTAGGAAATGAGAGTTTAAGAGATAAGGACGAAAGATAATGATTGTAGGGTAATATCTCTCTATACCTCTGAGCCATGTGTCCTTGTGGATAAAGACGTTGGTTAGATCCAGTGACTAGACCCAAAGAGTTGTGAGTTCAATACCAGGTCACAGAAGTGGTGAACCAAAACTTGGAGACTTGAGTTAAAGGGGAATAACCGAAACATCCAAAAGAGGCATAACACGTAGAACTAGAACAATCTATCCCGGTGGACGAAATAAAGGGTTCGGTTCCAATCACCTGAAGAAGGCTGGAGAAACACCCGAAATGTTGTGAATATGTTAATAAAGATGAGGATAACAGTCTGAATAATGTAAATAATTGATAAGTGATTGAACTGTAAATTGATGAAGTCAAAATTTTAGCGTTCATCAACGCACACACGCGGTTGCCTGTTACACAAATTCTTTGGAAAAACGCTGAGTGGTGCTTTCTTCTTACATTTCAAAAGTAGGAGGAAATGAAAATGATTCGACTCCGTGGAAATGGCATGTCCAAGATGTAAATGTCTGAAGAATCGGGACAAACGAATGCACCTCATATGTAAATTTGATACATAAAAAGCAATAAGACTGGCGACAGGCTTGCTGCTTTCCGTCTGTGAGAAAGAGGTTGTAAAGTGGAATATAAATCATGTCCCACGCAAACGATTTTGAAATCTCCGGCTGCAAAGTGAGGATTGAGCAGCGCCAGCCTAGGTGTAGCAGTAATACTCCATTTTTGGTTTGATTACCGGAATATGAGATCTGAAATTGTCCCACCCAGCTTTGGCGTATAGAAATCGTCCTATGAAATGCTGCATCAGAGAATAATTTCTGTTTGGCAATTTAACAGTAATCACCGAATGGTCAGATGTGCTTAAGTGAGGTAACGTGAGCAGGGCAGGATATGAAATCAGTGTCTCGAAGGTTTGTGCGATAAGTTCATTTGTCAACGATCTGGGTCAGTTCGGAAGCGATGGAGAATTCATAAGATTATTTGCCTTTGTCATTGACTAGCCACTCCTTTTCGTGAATATTGAAGTCGCCACAAATGGATGAGAGAATATCACCAATCTTTTCAGCTATTTTGTATATATTACAATTCCTTCATCCCGGAGAGGCTAGAGAATGAAAGAATATGAAATGATCCCATCCCCACTAATAAAAAATTGAACGGGAAATCAGGGCCCTCCTTTTTTTGTGGTTTCTGTTACATGAGAACGTATCCTTAATACAGACGTTAAGTCCCTGGCGATTTTGAGGGTCTTTTTTTACACGTTTTATATCAGTTTTAAGATTGCGCCCACCGATAATAAATCCTGATAGGATCTCTATTTCGTTGAAGAGTTTGCATAAATCCGCTGCGAAAGCAACTCTTTGTCTTATGCTCTTTTCTATTTTTGTGTAATTCATTTTCTATCTGTATCTATTTGTTTGCTCCCAGTATAAATTCTGGATTATTCCAACATGCTTCACAAATAGAAAGAGTTTTCCTAATAGTTCAACTATATCTTAGTTCCAATATTTCATACCTTGACAGATCCGGCATGCCAAACTATTGGCATAGAGTCGAAACCCTCATCATTTTCTCTGTGTTCCAAATTTAAAGAAGGACGTTCGAATCAGGCGAGTATATGTTTCTCTGGACATTACAATATTAATCTGGTCAAGTTAAGGGACAATTAATATTCATCGTTGTTATCGTCACAGTTTTTACTTACTGCTAACGTTTTTTGCATTCATATCATAAACCTCATTACCATTTTAACTTTCTCTGTCTTGAGTTGTTCTTGAGCCTTTTAATGGATAAAAACGGAAAAAATACCTTGTCCACTAATATTTCCATTAATGTTCTAATTTTGTGATTAATATGGTTCCATATTTATATGTAAACTTTTAAAGCCCAAGAAACTTAGTAAAGAGAAACATGGATGAAAATGGAAAAAATACCTTGTCCACTAATATTTCCATTAATGTTCTAATTTTGTGATTAATATGGTTCCATATTTATATGTAAACTTTTAAAGCCCAAGAAACTTAGTAAAGAGAAACATTTACGTCACATCATGATATGTGTCCAGTAAACATTCAGGTCGGAGTGTCGATACATTTACTACAGCCATAGTAGCAAAGGGAATATAGCCTGGCACCCCAAAATCATCCCTGTTATTTAATCCATAACTGGCAGGCACGGTGGTAGGATGGATTCTTACCTTTCCCATGTATATCTGTGCGATGTAAAGAACTTGACTGGAATTCGAAACTGGATTGCTGAATGTTCTTTCTGAGTCGCTAACTGTTAAAAGATACACTCAACCAGATAAAAAAAAAGAAGTTTTCTTGCAAAGTTTCCTAATATGCGAAAATTATGAATAAAATAAAGAATTGGAGAGATCGGGAAAAATTAAACAAATTTTATAAGAAAATGTTAAATGTCATAAAAGGAAATTTAGAATGATGGACAAGTTAATTTTAATCAGTTGAAGTACGTGATAAATTGATAATATGTTAAAATTACACAGATTAATTATTTAAAAAACATTCAATGGAAAGTATTTTATAACAATTCTGTTTATTTTTTAATCTTTACAGGAAGACATCCTTCCTTGTAACAGCAATCGAAGATGCGAACTAGGAACGATGTTAAAATCAAGCAAGTAAGAAAATTTAAATATGTGTTTTAACAGAGGACGGAAATGTTATACCGAAATCCGAAGGCGTATTAAAATAGCGAATGATACCTTCCAGAATTGAAACAAAATATTAAAAGACAAAGAATTTTCGTTGAACATGAGTAGAGGTTTATTCCTTACTTCCTGTTTAGGATTGGGTTTCTGGTTCCTTCTAAATTCAACCCTAACATTCTAACATCTCCGTCTAAAATTTAGAACTTTTATTTACTATTTATTTCCATTTTTTCCAATAAGATTTTACCGGTTTGCCGGTCTTTTTTGGACAGGGGTAAAGGTTTATCCCTTGTTTCCAGTTTAGAAACGGTTTTCCAGTCCCCTCTAAATTTTTTGCTTCTCTTTCACTTCCGGTAGACTCTTGCATCTTGCTCGCATTTTTTTCTTGCTTGGGTTGGTGCCTCTTTCTCTGTGACACTCTAACTCGGGTTGTTCTTGAGCCTTGTACAGTGTGAACATCACTGTAAAAAAAAAAGAAAAAGAAACAAAGACAGAAAAAAGCACTGAACTGTAACCAGTATTCATATATGGTAGTAGATGCTGGACAATTTCACACATAAAAACTGACTTGAATCAACAGAAAATATTGTTCTACAGAAGGATGCTGAGAATATAATGGACTGCATATATAAATAATGAGGTTGTTTTTAAACAAAACAGAATTTAAAAAAAAAGACACTTGTATTTAGAATCAGAAAGAGACAGTTTCAGTTTTTAGGACGCAAAATGAGGAAATGGAGAATTTGAGACTTGCAGGACGTACTGAAGTCAAAATGGAGACCGGAAAGCAGCGAATAACCTACCTAAACAACTTGTGAAAATAGATTTTAAATCAGAGAGTTGAGGGATAGTGAAATGAAAAATCTTTCTAGGAGCTACAAAGGATAGGAAGTTGTGGAGAGCCATAATCACCGACATCCTGATGGGACATAGAACATTGATGATAATGAGAGGGCTGCAAGATGGCTATTAAAACATTAAAAAGACAAGTTTGAAATGTAATTTGGAATATAAAAAAAAGTTTT